GAATGGTCTGGATATTATTAACGTGCGCGTTAAGTTATTACTAATAAAGATACCGTAGCGTCGGCGGCGGTACGCGCAAGGAGAACGATCACGCAGAGCGATAAGATAATTACTACCAGCAATCGGTGGCAATAGCATCAACGCCGTGCGGTCGCCGTCTCACGACGCCCGGCAATGCCGATGCTGGGTGTACGTGAAGTGTTGCATTAACTTGTATCAACCGCTCCGGATAGACCGAAGCGATCCTTGGTGGAAATTGAACGGGTAACCAGTACCTATTCCTGTCGGGTATGCCGCGTTCGTCGGGCGTTGCTAAAACGATGCCAATCGATTTACGCTCGGCTTCGCGTTCGATAGCTTCGTTTTCTCATCCATTTGCCCGAACGCACCGGGGCGTCGTGAGAACTTGGTCGATCGATCAATTAGAATACGTTCCCCCCCCGGCCGGCGGCTGCCAAATGTGCTACGAGGTTACCGCCGGCGCGAGTGACTCACGGCCGCGAGTGACTCGCGTCAACATTAACGGACACGCGACTTATCACATAACGGCGTAAGGCCGTTCTCGATACCCGTTCTCGGTCAAGCGGATTCGCAAAGTTATGCAGAAGGTTACAGAAGTTACGAGCGCGTATGCGCCTCGTTCGTGGATTATCACGGTACGTACGAGAGCCGCGGTACCTACGAGATCTCCTTAGATTTGTGCGGATAGTACCCGCATCGTTAGGAGAGTCACCGAGTGATTTAATTCCAGTACCACTTTATCGCACGCGAGGCTCTCTCTCCTCTCGCGCGGCGAGTGTTAAATTTCCAATGTTCGCGTCCCCTATCACGATCGCGAGACGTGAGAACTTTTTATGTGAAATAACGTTCCGTTCCATTAAAACGCGCGCGGAAATTTCCATACCACTTGTCTCCCGAGTCGTCTCCCGATTTCGTTTCTGTGTACCCAGCACTTCGTCTAGATTAAATTACTGGAATGCATCTATGTAAATGCTCGCCTATCGTTCGATAACATCTTCCCGATCGATGTGCTCTCTCTCGCGCTCAGTGGCTCAATTCACGGGCTCCCCACGGGCATGACGGGTGGCGGTGTCGATTAACGATTCCGTTCGAAAATTCCCCGGCAATCTCTGAATCTCGTTTCCGAGCGCCGCTCGGAAAGTCGTGCGCATACCAGACGAATGGATAACGTCTCTCTCTTCGGCGAACGTCGGGCGAGGGAAGGGAGCTCGTTATGTAATTATTCGATGCGAACGTCGGGACATATGCGAGTACAGTCTCTCCTCTCTCTCTCTCTC